TGGTCTTGGATTGTGAGCTTTAGCACGGGCAGCCCAGGCATTGCTCAGATCCTGAGCAGAGGCAGAGTGCTTGCTGGAAATGAATGAAGTTTCYGCCTCGAAAACGGGAGAACTGCTTTCCCAGGAACGTCTTTGAAAGGATCCATGCCCAGTTTGGGAAGAGGCAAAGGTAGAGCTGTGTTCAGGTGAGTGTCCTGTGAACAGAAAGATTTGTTTTGCAGTGAGGATGTTGCCCTGGGCTCTTGGAGGAGAAAACCCTTGGGCTGTGCCCTGCTCCTGATGGCTGGATAATGCAGTGCCATGCTGACCTTGTAAGGGGTCACATGAGGTCTGGCTTTAGTTCCCACCAGCATCACTGAGAAAGTTCCTGTGAATCTCAGTGGGAATTTAACCACCTATTTGTCTGCAACTTCTTTTACACCAGCTTTTTTTGTGGTAGGAGAAAAATAAGGACTTTTCACCACCTGAAACAACTGTCTGGGAGCTGTTTCTTCCTACCCRGCTTAGAGCAGAGCAATATTCCGTGGCTACAAGGCCATGCTTCTTGCACTTCAAAGTCACTGTGAAGAGGGTTTAGACKTGTTATTCCACTAAATGTTTCTGACTTTGAAATGATTATGGGGTCTCCTCTGAATGCTTTATGGGGTAACAAAACTCYGAAGAATAGGGCTCTCTTCAGCTGAGTAAATACAAGCTATTTTCATAAATCTTCAGACTATTGGAACATCAACAACATTATCCTACATGGGTTGTTATGATTTGTGTTTGCAGAGTTATGTGTTGAAGCTCAGGCTTGTGCTTTCAGCCTTATCTTCTATTAAGAAGGGAGCCCCAGAGAGGGTTTTTCAGTGCAATGAGCTCTCAGAGCCCCACTGGAAGCTTTCTGTAGCAAATCTGTGTGGAGATCACCCTGCTTTGATCACTGMCAGGGAACCAGGAACAATCATTTCCACTGATTTTGAGTGAAATCAGCTCCCAGGTACRTTTGTGGCTCACATGCTGCTCAGCATGGACTGGCATTCCTGGTGATCTGCTGCTCTTCAAACCCACAGCTGGGGGAAGTGCCCGCAGAGACAGTGTTTTTCTTCCAAATTCAGCAACTTTTTATTCTTCACAGTTTGCAAGTTGATTGTAGCCAAAACTCACACAGCCCTGCTCAGCTGGTTTTCCATCCACTTTATTCTTACTCATAAGCTTAAAAAAAAAAATTCAGCTAATTAAACCAAAGTATTGTGCCACAGTTCATTATTTGGGCCAAAACACCTTCCCTTCTCTTTGTTTGCCCATGGGAAGAGATGCTAAGTAAAAAACTCTGCAATCTTCCCAAATGAAAGAAATATGGAGCAGCTTTTCACTTGACACAAATCAGCCCAGTTTCCTTGCCTTCCACAGAGCTTTGCTGATTTTGCCAGCTGAAGATCCATGTCTGAGCTGTCTCAGGTGCTTGTGATGAACCACTGATAATCCCACAACAACCTGCTGGGCAGCAGCAGCTCAGTCCTAATTAACAGCCCTAATTTGCACATAAAATGCAGCTGGATAGAGATTCAACAGGTGTAACATTCCTGTGTACATAGGACCACTTGCAAATACTTTAATCAAAGCATAAATCCTGAATAATACAAAGGATGGGTGAGGCCCCCATTAAAATTTTGTTTCCTCTCTATTTTTTCATTGTTCAGAAAAATGCAAGTTCATTTACAGACATCACTGTTAGGTCTTTTGAAGCTTGTGGATCATCCAGCTTTTTCCATCAATGGAAAAACTTCGAAGAGTAACAAATTAGTTCCTGAACGAATGAGGCTSTCATTGGAAAGCTTGGAGTGAATGGAAAGCAGAGAGGAAGACAACTGCAAGGCAGAGAAAACAAGGAAATCCTTACATTGACAACTGTTTTTAAAAAATATTTATTTGTAG